GCTGCCCCAGCGCCAGCCGCCGCCGTTGTGTTGCGATTCGGTGCATAACGACTGAGGATAAAGTTTAAATGTGCGTGTGTGTATGTGCATGACGTGGGGAATATGCTTTATTAAAAGATGCCCCGACTTAGCGTTGCTGGGAAGGCAGCCTGGGAGTTTATGTTGGTTTTTTTTTTTTTTTCTTTTCGTGTGCGTGTGTGCTTTCCTTCTCTTAATTTTATTAAAGTGTTTAGTGGGAGAAACAAAGGTTGGAGGGGCTGCTGCTTTACTAGCTTTTGTTTACTTACAATCAAGTTTTTCCTGTTTGGAGCAGGTGCGAAAGGATGAGAAGCGTGTTGTGTTGGGGTTTTTTTCTCTCCCCCCCCCCCCCCCACACCCAACTATTACAGACAATTAACAGTAAACGTTATCTCCAAGGCTGTTTCTTTGGCTTGTGTTACCAAAAAGCCGATCTGTTTGTTACAGCTGCTAGGAGGCTTTAGTTTACAGTAGCATTCAAGTTTTTCCTGTTTTGAACAGGTTATGAAGGAAGAATGGAGTTTCCAGACCATAGCCGCCAGTTGCTGCAGTGTCTGAGTCAGCAGCGTCACCAGGGCTTCCTGTGTGACTGTACTGTTTTAGTTGGAGAAGCTCAATTCAGGGCTCACAGAGCCGTTCTTGCCTCTTGCAGTATGTACTTCCATCTTTTCTACAGGGACCAGTTAGACAAAAGGGATATTGTGCATCTGAACAGTGACATTGTCACAGCCCCTGCCTTCAGCCTGCTGCTTGAATTCATGTACGAGGGAAAGCTGGAATTCAACAGTCTCCCGGTCGAAGATGTGCTGGCTGCGGCTAGCTACCTTCACATGTATGACATTGTGAAAGTCTGCAAGGGCAAGTTGAAAGATAAAGAATTATGTTCGGAAGAGAAGATTAATGATGAGGCGGCTAGTTTGGAGAAAGCGGAGCATTTTCTAGATGCCGGAGTGCCCCTGGTCCACGAGTTTGACCCAGGAAACAAACAAAAATTCAGCGTTGCAGAATACGAGAGAGCAGCAGGCAAAGAAAAGGTCAGCAGTCACCCCGCCTGGTCCTCTGATCATATAAGTGTCAGCTCTGTGCCGACAGAGGCAGAACCCTGTGCCGCAGCAGCTGGAAAAACAAAGGCTAATGTCAATAGTTCCGCAGGACCTTTGTCCCAAAGGTCTGTTAACCATCCCCTGGCTTCGAGTGATGTGGACTGCGCGCTGGATTTGTCTTTCAAGCCCGTGCCGGGGAGAGATTCCTTACACCCCTCCTATGTCTTTGGACAGCTGGCTTCCGACAGCCAGCAGCAGGGTACCGAGCCACTTGTTAAAGATGAACAAGACTTGCTGTCAGATCAGGAGGACGGCGAAGCCAGGAGTCCGGAGAGTCAGCATTTTGGGAATTCAGCCAAAAGCCTAGTGACAGGGTTAGGACACATGTTTGCGGGGAATGGCAGCTCTCATGCCCGAGAGGAGGATATAGATCAAGAGCGAGACGAGAGCGAGGATGACATGGATTCGTCGGACATCTCCTCCTCGGGCGTCCTCATGGCTCCGGGGCATATCTGCATTTGCCCCCTCTGTAGCAAGGTGTTCCCGAGCCCGCACATCCTTCAGCTGCACCTCAGCTCTCACTTTCGCGACAGGGACGGCCCCCGGACCCGCCTGTCCCCCGACGGGTCGGTCCCCACTTGCACCCTCTGCGGAAAGACTTTTTCTTGCATGTACACGTTAAAGCGGCACGAGAGGACTCACTCGGGGGAGAAGCCCTACACCTGCGGCCAGTGCGGAAAGAGCTTCCAGTATTCCCACAACCTCAGCCGCCACGCGGTGGTGCACACCAGGGAGAAACCCCACGGGTGCAAGTGGTGCGAGAGACGGTTCACGCAGTCCGGGGATTTGTACAGACATATCCGCAAATTTCATTGTGGCCTTGTAAAGTCCTTGGTTGTTTGAGACGCGTGATTTTTATTTTATTTTTTTTAAATTTTTTTCCCCCCACCCTTTTAAAACAAAACAGGAAAAAAAGGCAGCATCTGAATTTTTTTTTTCCTTCCCCTTCCTTTATTTTATTTTGGTGATGTTCACTTCAGGTATATGATCTTCAAAAGATGCAGAGGTATACACTCCAGAGGCCTTTTAATGCAATCCTTCCACCTCTCCATCTCCCCCCTTCCAGCCCTGTCCTTTAGGTCTTCTCTTGCGCACCCATGTTACATTATTAATGTGAAATGATCTAAGTAATTCTGCAATGATTTAGCATCTGTTTTCACGCTGAAAGTACTTGCTTTGTGGTCAGGGTTTTTTTTTTGTTTTGGTTTGTTTTTTGGGGTTTTTTTTTTTTTAGTTTCAAAAAAGATTATCAGCAAATTCCAGAGAAAAATTTGGATTCCACTAAGCTCCCCTAATGCTCTCTGCGTGTTGCATAGAAACATGGAAGAGATGAACTATGATTTAAATACATTTCAGTGTAGAGAAACTCGTCTGCATATCGCAGAGTAAGCGGCCGTCCTCTTATTTTATAGAGCTAGATGAGACCTTAAATTGGCCTCAGTTGCAAAGGGGGTTGAGGTTTCCTGGCTGCGTCTTTGGTACTGGTCATTTTTTATTCTATTATCTTAGAATAGTTCTGCAGTCAGTCCTAAAATCTGAACGAGAAGCTTTTGCCTCGGACTTGACTTAAATTTTCCCTTCCCACCCATCCTTGCCTGTGGGCTGACCTACTGAAAAGCTGCTTTTGAGCATAAAATGTGGACGGAAAAACTCTGTCTGCAGCGTATTCACTCCTGAAATATTGAAGGATGCACGCTAGGACATACGAGATATGATAAGTGAATAACTTCATTCCCCTATTGACACCCAGGGGCTGATCCTGTCCCCCTTGGGGTGTCTTGGTTCAAGGTAACTCGTACCATGTGTGTTAGGAGATGCCCTGCTATCTCGTCCGAAAAGTTTGCTGCTATGCTAGAATGAGCAGCTCAGAATTTTATTTTATTTGACTTTATTTTTTATGAAGTTGGTGATTCCCTCTGGGCCAGATTCTGTGCAATCGCCAGTATTTCGAAGGGGCAGTACGAAGATAAACTGCTGGAGGGAAAACGTGGCCCAACTCTT